AGGAAGACCAAAACTAACAGGGTAATTATTCTCATTAGTATTGATGCAGTTTCATATCACAAGCTGTGTTGGTGCGTCACACTCCTCTTTAAGTTATCCCGGCTTTTTTGCACTGATTTGGTCGTACTCACTAATTCTGGCACCCACTTTGCTCCAGTAACACAATTTAAAACCCCTGGAGCATGCCAACAGTAGATTAACAGTTTCAGCGGTCGAGACAAAGGAGTAGATCTCGGAGGTCTGGATGGTGCTTTGTGAGTATAGAATCGAATCTATATTTCAACGTTTTTTTTAAACGTCACGGATGAAAACTGGGCAAAAATTAAAGCGGAGACGGGTGAAGGAGGATTGTACTGCTGTTGGGTATCAGTGCTGATTTGTGGGAGAGAACTGGAACTGTCTGGCTAAAGCAGAGTATGGGGGGGGGGGCAGAGCGAGGAGTGGAAAACAGAGAAAGGGTCAAGGGTAAGATGACTCCTACATTCAGCAACATGACACAGATGGCAGAAAGAGAGTAAGACAGATTGCAACCTGAAAAAGCCACAATTATTGGTGGGTTATAAACCCTCTTGTCAGTCATATGATGTGAAGCCCGGCCAACAACACCGGCCCCCACAGTTGGATATGAGGCCGCCCGATCTGTATTAGCTTTTATGACCCACTTCGATTGTTCTGTTAAGATCCTGTTGGGGAGCATGAGTTATTATAAGAGGTGACTAATAGTTTCTGTGAATCTAAAATGCACTATTTGGAGCGCTTCATCTTTTGTGTGGCTGCTGTTTTGGTTTTAGTGGTTCTTTTGCTCTTTCTGTGCCATTGTGTTCACAGTAGACTGCAGAAAATAATTTGAAATCCCTCCTTTTTTTGTGCCTGAATAGAAAACTCAGGTTCATAATTTAAATCTATGTACGGTTTTTATTACTCATCTTGGATTTTATGAAGTTGGTTTTCTTGTTTGTAGTCTTGAAAAACAACCACAAGTACAAACGGTGTAAAGACTGTGGTGTGTACTAAAGTCACACACACATTGAACAGGGAGGAGCCCCTTCAGTTACTTTGCCATTTCAGGCTGAGAGAGTCAAACCTGCGTCCACTGAAACCAGAGAGATCTGACCTTAAGAGTATTTAAACATCAGGCTTACACAACTCTGAAAACCACTGGGGACTCAATTGTTTGCTGTTCTCCAAAAGGCTGGTTTAGTGTTTCTTGGGATTTGTATATGTAAGGAGTTTGACTCTGTAGTCTTTTATCATTCTTTAGAACTGGATTGGGCTTCATGATAATAAAAATAAAAGATTAAAGACCTCTTATTTGTTATAAATCCCTCTGTCCCTTCACTGATCAGATTCCAATGACTCAGAAACATCTTAAGACATTTTTATTCAGACAGGTTTTTAGTTGTTTACTGTTTTTAAATTTGTTCATTATATTTGTGACCTGTTTTTATTGTTTTTAGTTATTTTGCTCTCTGTTAAGCACTTTGTGATATTTATGACTGTGAAAGTTACTATATAAATAAAGTTTACTTACTTATTAGTATATTTTGCTACAGATGACCTACAGTCACAGAGGCATTGTATTTATTGTTGTATGTATTATCCCAAATTTTATTAATATTACAAATGTTTTAGATGTAATCCTCATGCCTGGTTGACTCTTAAACTGTGATTTGAATTTTTAAGGGTGGTGCTGCACATTTTGTTCTGTAGAGCCATTCTTGCATCTCCCAGTAAAAGCTGTACGATCAGGTGAAAGCACAAGAGTGAGAAGTGCATCCTCGCACAAGTCCAGATATATATCAAAGAAAACCACTGCAACAGTTAGAAAATATAATAAACCCTGCCTACAAACTACTAGACACATTGCATTACCTGTACTGTAAATATTTTACTGCTATTTCATTACCTAAGTGTATTTTTCTTTGGAGCAAAACCATAGAAATCTTTAGTGAGGAACAAACAAAGATCAATAAGTTACAGCAACAGTTTATCAATTAGATGTAGCTGATTCTGTGCCGAACATGAGCTAAATGATACACAGTAACAGTGACAGCATCGCTCCCTGATACATAAATTAAGCTAAATCTGCTTTTAAGTTTCAAAACAATAACTCCTACTTGAAATGTTTAAATCATAATCACTCCTTACAGTCACTGGAAAGAAATAAATGACATCCCATACTTTTATCTGGAAAATAAAATAAAAACAAAGTTGCACAACTTGAGCTTATAACAGTCTGACACTAAAAGAACCAGTTTGTTGAGTTGTAGAGGTAGAAAGCTTTGGATTGTTGGCGTTATTTATTCATTTTTATTTGACAAAAGCACCTTTTAGGCGCCTCATTAAGCAGTGAAATGCTACTGTTAAAAACCTTGAAAATGTTTAACCAGTTTTGTTTTAAAACCTTTGAGAGCTCAGGGGTCATTTTGACCCAAGGGCAGCAGAAGGGTTAAATTAGTGACTTACTACGGTTTTTTGTTTGCTTAAATAGTGTCAATAAAAATTTAGTCACTTTAACAAAGTAAATTAAAGCAGTTGCCACACATTTCAAGAATTAATTCAGCAGGCAAAATTGAAAAGGTCAGATTGAGTAGATTTAGTTTTGCCAGGCTGCTTCGTGCTGTTACATGAGCTGTTGTTGCCTTTAGACTTAAAGTGAATCGAGGACAAGAAATTGGATCATTTATCAACAAGTTTAACATGATTTATTAATTTATTTGTTCGGGAAACCTGGAAGTTTAAAGTAGCTCATTTCTTGATCGCCTGACCGAGTTTCACGACGAGGATTTCTGGAAATACGTGTGCACACGGAGAACCTTTTGAAGTCGGCGTTGAGCTCGACGTGTTTCGTTGTTGTCATTCTTAAGAGACAGCCCCCCCCCTCCTCCTCCTCCCCATCAAAGTGGACTGATCTTAGCATTGTTCGGTGTGTACATGTGTGTGTTTGGGTTCTGGGAGACGGCGCCTCCCCGCTGAGAAGCAAAGAGTCAGAGGCAGCAGGTGCAGCTGACGCAGATAGGATTTTTTTTGCCGGTGGGACCAGACTGGGGTGTGTGTTTGTTTGTTTGTGTGTGTGTGTGTGTGTGTGGGACAGAAAGGGACACGATGGGTGAGAGACGATAGAGGACAAAGTCAGACCTCTGGGATGAATTCATTTGTCACTTCTCTAGTTCATGGACAGGATGTGAAAAGGAAGATAACAGCACCTGACCTGTGGCTCTCCTCCCTTCAGTTGAGCATTTGTGTGAGTAACACTTGTTTTATTTTTATTGTTTGGTGCAATCAGCACATGCATTTTGAAGCAGAAGTAATTCGCCAGACATTTGTGTGAAGCAGGCGGCTTTTGATTGAGCTCGACGGGAAAACGACTTTATAAAAACGGCTGATTCATACAAGCCAGCTGCTTGTTTTACCCTGTTTGTACAAAAGTTGCTGCACCCCCTCCGTACAGCTGAGGCGCTCTCTCTGCGTGTAGGAATTTTCTCGTTGCTTTATTAAGCAGCGGCGCGTTGAGAAACCGAGGCACTTGAGAAATGAGGTCTGGTTCTGCTTTGTGTTTTGTTGCCTACAGTAAGTCTGGTGTGTGCGCTCTTCATTGTGTCAGCTTCTATCTTTGCCCTGCTGGCCTCGAGTGACATAAAGGCAATACTGTTCAGCCTGGCATTGAAAGAGGACAATTGTATAAACAAGCSAGAGGCAGAGAAAATGAATGGGGTGAGTTGTGCTAAAATGTTAACGTTAATTCCTCTGCGGGTATCRTAGATGATGAGGAAACTGCACATTTCATTTCTTCCGCCTCATTTTAGATCCATCTGTTGCTGCTGTAATGAAGGGACGTTAGTGCTCCAAATGCCCTTGACCGATCGGCTCGCTTCCCTCTGAAAAAACCTTCTACAGATTAGTGCTGGGCGGTATACCAATTTGTACCGAATACCGGTTTTTATTTTTGTTATATGAATTTTCTGAATACCGGACATTCCAGTTTAAATAGCGGAACGTTTCGCCGCAGCCGCCAGTGAACTGTTGTTTCCCAGGGGGGACATTTTTCCTTGCTGCACCTCTATGTGCATTAGCATGCTAATGTTTGGAGCAGCTAGTTGCAGCAGCGGGTGGCGATTCCGCTGCTTATATTGACTGACGTTTAAAAAAACATCCCATTTTTGCTGTCGCTGAATGTAGTAAACACCTCTTCAGTGACGTGCACAGTTAGATTTAACGCAGTTAGTTAATATGGAGACGTTATGCTGATGGAGACTTAACGTGGTTCTATTGTGAAAAGCCTGCAGGAAGTAGTTCGTAGTGGAGTTAGAATTGACTGGTGTGCAAGATGAGTCATGCTGATAAGCTTTAATAAATAACATAAAACATTAAAMCCGATCATAATCTTTTCTTAACCCTCCTCCTTCACGACTGGACCAAAATGCATGACTACTGTCTGCAACCACCAGTCAGAGAAAAACAGACACAGAGGAGGGAAACAGCGACACAGACAGAGGTACAGTAAAAGAAAAAAGTCATTAAGCAGGGTTTGTACATTTTATTATYAGCTGAGCTGTGATGAAAAGAAAAATACCGTCAAATACCGTGAAACCTGTGAAAATGTTGAAAATACCGTGATATAAAATTTTGATCATATCGCCCAGCTCTACTACAGATTCACCTTTTTCTTCACTTCACCCCACTCTCTTATCAGTTTTCTGCCTTCACAGTCATTCRCTGCCAAAAAAAAAAGTCCATCCTTCCTTCAAACGACCAGCCATGCAAGCCACCTCAGCTTGGCCGAYGTTTATTTGTCATAAGCTGTTTGAGTGTTGAGACGTTCCTTTAAGAGGCAGTCTCGACTGCGCTGGCCTCGCTGCACTTCCCTCGCCGTCTCACCGGTTATCCTGCGCTCTCCGTCCTGCAACAAAACCCCAACCTGCTCATTTCTTAGCCTCGTTTGCTCTTCCCCTCCCTCACTTCTCTCCTTTGTTCTCTCGTTTCATTTCTCGTCAATCAAGTGCTTGCCGGTCTATCATCTCTCTCTGTRTTACTCGCCGACACTCGTCTCCTGTCACCTCTCCACGTCCTGCTGATGAGAGGAAGCACAAAGGTGAGTGGGGATACATTTAGTCTTTAAAGCGTTCCGCTTCCCTGCCTCTTTAAAACCCCCTCTTAATCAGAAGTCTTTATTTCAACTTGCAGTGCAGTTTATTGCCTTGTGTCCTTGGAGACACAGAATGCAGGTTTTTTTTGTTTTTGTTTTTGTTTTATGCTTCAGGTGCAACAATTAGGCAGCACTGGTTGGTCGCCGCTGTGAGTCATCATGTGACACAGCATGTACATTTCAGTTGTGCTCAAAGACGCATCGGCTGCTGCGAGGGAAGGGGGTTGAATCGGTGTGCAGAGAGCGCAGCCGTGTGTCGGTGCAGACGGGAGCTCGTGACACAGTTTTGCACCAGCTGTGGTGCAGTGGCATCCCAGGCAGATTAATGAGCGCTGTACAGCAGTGACAGCAGCAAATGTTAGGAAGGTAATTACAGTGAAGACGTTTGCGCTYGGATTTCTTTTACAGGCTGGAACTGGAATGGGCTAAAAGCTAAAGTTTGTGGTGCTGCTAATGCATCCTCAGCACATCTCACCAGACCAGGTTGGCATTGGCCAGACATCTATTTTAACCAGTCTTAGCACAAAAAAAGTATGGAAACTTGTGTTTGGTACATTAGTTCTTTCTTGTAACAAAGCTTCTTGGCAATAAATTTTATAGCACACATCTGATTAGCAGCACCTGGGGGTACCAGAAGCTCAAAACGTGCGTCAATAGCGACAGCAAAATAAACTGTTTGTTAGAGAAGATTTGGCAAATTTTTCATGTGCGCAGCCATCCTGCTGCTCAGTCCATAAATGCGTGTTCCTTACAAATGTGGCACCATTTAAAAGGGACATTAACAGGCTTTCCAACAGTATCCGACTGATTGCCAAGAAGCTTTGTTACAACAAAGAAATAAACTACCAAACACATATTTTCTTATTTTTTGCAGTGTTTCCCCAACATTGTACARTAGAACTGACCGCCCGCTTAACAATTTCCCTCCACCCCTTCATCCATAAAGTAGAAGAGTTGTATTAATTACGGGAGCAATTTTTGTCCTTTTTTAAATTTACCACCACAATAAGTTTAAAGATTTCTCATATCTTTATGAAATATTGTATCGCAGCGGAGAAATCTTGATAATTTCTCCCACCATCCCACTGTACGTTGTGCACAACGAAACATTTTAACATCCGTAGTTGTTTTTTTACACCAAAGTTGGAAAAGCTATGTTTTTTTGTGTGTGTGTGTGAGTTTGTTTTTTTTCAGTTAACTGTGGAGATGAAAAGAAGTTGTGGACTTTTTCTAGAGCTAGGCGGTATGACCCAAATTTTATATCACGGTATTTTCAACAATTACACCAGTTTCACGGTATTTGATGGTATTTTTTCCCTCACAGCTCAGCTGATAATAAAATGTACAAACTTTGATTAGTGACTTTTTTCTTTTATCACTGTTTCTCTTCTCTTGTACATCTTTTCTTCTTTGCCTGGTTGTAGACAGTAATCAAGTATTTTGTTCCGATCGTGAAGGGTTGAGAAAAAATCATTATCTGGTCTATTGTTACGTGTTAATAAAACACGTTAATAAAATAAAGATGACTCGCCTTGCACACCAGTCAACTCCGCTACACTACAAACTACTTCCCCCCGGGCTTTTCACAATAGAAGCACGCTAGAGTCTCCATGCAATAACGTCTCCGTTATCACGTAGTGCATTAAATCTAACCGTGCACGACACTGAAGAGTTGTTTACTATTCAGCGATGGTAAAAACGGGATGTTTTTTTTTTTTACGTCAGACGATATAAGTGGCTGAAACACACCACCTGCCGCCAGTTGTTCCAACATTAACATTAGCATGCTAATGCGCTTAGCGGTGCTGCAACGAAAAGTGTCCCCAGGGAAACAGTTCACTGGCGGCTGCGACGAAATGTTCCGCATGTGTTCAGGCTATTTACACCGGTATTCAGAAAAGTCATCATAACAAAAATAAAAACGGGTTTTCGGTACAAAACGGTATACCGCCCAGCACTAACTTTTTCCCTTGCTCCATCTTGCCAATTTAGCAGTCGGCTCCTGCTCAGGGAGCAGATCATTTTCAGCAGCATGCAGAAGCTCACGCGTATGACAAGCCATGTTTACATTTAATCTGCTTCATTACTCTTCACATTACAGGTATCTAAAATCAGTTTATGACTTGACATATTTGTTATTTTTGTTTATTTAAGTGAGAGATATGAGATTCAGCTAATGCAAATGAAATTGCAGAGATTTTCATGTTGTGTAATTTTTATAAAAAAAGAAAAAAATCCAATGGGGAAACAATGTTTTGTGTAAAGTTTATCACTTTCATTCACATTCAATACCATACTTTCTTCTTTCATATGCAGTCTATGATTTTAGTGCTGAAACTTTGCAGCACAGGCACCAAATCCCAATTTAATCCTGTTTGCCAGTGTTGTTTGTGCATCACTGCGCTCATTATAGGAATTGTTGGCCACCTGACACCCACGGGGACAAAAACTGGACTGCCAGAAATATATTTAGGAGCATGACACGTTACAGAATCTATCACTCAAGTATTCTTATTAGTGAAGCTCTTTGATGCTGCGAATGAACTGTATATCATGGGATAGTATTGGGTTTAAAGACACTTTCTGACATTGATGTGGTTTCTCTGATGAAACAAAAACAATCGTGAGAACTGGCTCAAACTCCAGAGTTATGTTCTTGAATATATTTTCAAAGAAAAAAGTGCCTTAAAGTACATATTTAATAATATTTTGCATCCTGGACAAAGATTACACTCTGCCATGAAAATATCAAGGCCAAATCAAAATCAGTGACCTTTTTTATGGCTGTTGATCCCTGAACCAAAACAGGAGCGTCCACAGTACATTCATTTTGTGACTCTGAAATATTAGACAAAAATTCATTAACTTGAGTTGAGGCTCTTGGCTCCACAATATGAGCACATGTTATTATGTGGGAGAAATGGGGGGAAAMAGGTTATTGTTCTCTGAAAACCTCCTTTTAGGTTCTGAAAGCAGTTGGCATATAGCTTTTGGTCCATGTTATTATCTAGAAATGATTTGCGTCGCCCAGTCAAGTGAAACTGCCCTGCTCGTGGTTATTGCCTCTGAATTGTGTTCTCATTGTTTATCACCTCTTCTCAGTGATACAGTTGAACAGGTGCATCATTTCTTCTCGCTAGCTAAAATAATCAGCGGCTATGTTTCAATTTAAATTCAGAATACTGCAGTTTACTGGTGTATATTTTTATAGAGAAGTAAATTATAGATATAACTATTTTATTTGAGTAGAAGAAAATGATTACAATCACTGTCAATATTGTTTTCTGGTCATTTTTCAGTTCAGTTTTATACAAAACTCTATTGTGTTGCAAAATGAAAAAAAATTACCTTATTATTGGAAAATAAAGCAGAATAGTTTACATTTTTGCAACGGTGATGAGGCTTCACGCTGAATGTCATGCTGCCATACGGTCAATTTCCCAGAGTACATTTTATTTACTGAAGCTGAGATGATTGAATTTTTTCACTTCATTAAGTAAATGCTGATAAATAGTTGTTTTTTAATTCACAAAACAATTGATCCAATAAATGCTGCGGAAAAATTATAATTAGTCTATTGGGACCACTGCTAATGAGCTGTTTTCCATTGTTGCCAAGCTGTGCATTACCATTGGGATATTTAAATGAGGAATCTCTTTTTATTTTATTTTATTTTTTTACCCACTCTAAAGGGATTATCTGGTAACCAACAGCTGGGAAAAACGGTTTTTAATTTACTCCAGTATTTAAAACCTCAAGCAAAACAGGTGATCTGTGGATGACAGAAATGTCAAAGTGTCACTTTTATTTTTTATTTTTTTTAATTGAGAAGTGGCTATTTTTATTTGTAAATCGTTGTATTATATAATAAAAATTGGTTTAAAATTATGTTACCTGCTGAAGAAGATAAAATGAGGAGACTTCAACAACTCTACTATGCGCATATGGATTAATAGGACATTTGAAATGACATCTCCACCCTCGTCTGAGACTAAAATTGATCTAAAATTAGGAGTTTTGTGGACATTTAAATCAGATTGTAGATGCTAAATAGATGTTTGCATTTAGCTCAGATTGGTGAGAAGCATGCATGGACTTTGCAGAGGTCAAACCAGGGACTGAATTTCTGAACTTGTTGAATCCCGCTGAGCAAACCAGCCACAGCTACGTTTACAAAGCTGATCAAATTCTAATAGCAAGCCCTCTGATTGGTTGAGGAGTACGAGCCAGTGCTCGTATGTTAACATGACGAGGTCTTCAGAAAGCGTTGGGTGCAGCTGCCACGCTACTCAGAAAGTAAAAAAAGGAACTATAAAGAGGCTGGAGCTTCCAGCCACACCCACACCCTTACAAACCACTCACACTCATGTTTCCTGTTTTGTAGTATTTTTCTCGTACACTCCCAACACGCAGCTCGGGGATGCTCAGTGTGTTCCTTCTGTTCGGGCGTTTCACAGGGTTCAGTTGTGGGGAGTGTGTAGTTGTGTTGTGAAGAGGGATGTTTGGCTGTGGTGAGTGGTGCATTCCTTCTGTGGCAGCGCCATTTGCTGGATTAAACATTTACACAGCACGTTTCATCGTTTCAGACTGTCTTACTGTCAACGTAAGATAAGATAAGATAAGATAAGGTAGACTTTTTATTGTCATTGTACAGAGCACAATGAAATTACAGTTTAGAACACATGTCTGTAAACATGTCTGTAAAACATACAGTTTGAAAAAAATGCTCAAGAACTTCAATACGGTGGCCTGGAGGTGCAAAACAAAATTACAAAATCTGAAACACTTTTACAAGTTCTGAAACAAATTTACATTTTAGAAAACAAATTTACATTTTAGAAAACAAATTTTCATTTTAGAAAACACTTTTACAAGTTCTGATTTACATTTTAGAAAACACTTCTACAAGTCTTGAAACAAATTTACATTTTAGAAAACAAATTTACATTTTAGAAAACACTTTTAAGTTCTGAAACAAATTTACATTTAAGAAAACAATCCGGAAAGGGAGGGACCGTAACACCGAAGCTGACTCGGAAATGGGAGTGCTCAAACTGACCCAAGATGGATGGGAATTGACTGGCATTTTGTCCGTTTTGTGGAACACATTTAAGTGCCTTGTCGCTGTTTTGTTTTTCATGTGGTCGGTCTTTTGAATTTTTAAATAGCACTGAGGACACCACTGAAGGACCAGAGGCACAGGGGGCATCTCAACAGCCGAAAGTGTTTTCTTAAATGTAAATTTGTTTCAGAACTTGTAAAAGTGTTTTCTAAAATGTAAATTTGTTTCAGAACTTGTAAAAGTGTTTCAGATTTTGTAATTTTGTTTTGCACCTCCAGGCCACCGTACTTCAAAATATACTTTCTCAAGTGACACACTATGATTTATTAATAAAAATAAATAGATCTTTATGAGAGTAAATCCTTAAAGTATTTACATGTACTTGGAGAGGGCTTGTGATTGTGTTCCCTGAGGCTTTCTGTGGAGGGTGCTGTAGGAGGATGGGAGGCCAGGGTTGGCTATCCAGTCTCTGTATAACCAAAACAGGATCTGTGTCGGCGTTATTGGCACAAAGTCGAGCTCGTTTGAGCTTTATCCCTTGTCTTCAATCTTGTTTGTGGTGTTTATGGACAGGATCTCAAGGCGTAGTTGTGGAGAGGTGTTTGGTTTGGGGACCTCAGGGTCTTGTCTCTGCTTTATGTGGATGATGTGGTTCTGTTGGTGTCTACGGTCCATGACCTTCAGCGTGCACTGGGGCGGACATGGTCCTCAACCAGAAAGCAAGAGGTGGATTAACAGATCAGAGCCTCATTCTCAGTAATGAGGGCGTTGCTTTGGTCAGGCGTGGTGAAGGAAGAGTTGAGTTAAAAGGAAAAACTTTAAATTTATTTGTCTGTTTAGGTTCAAACTTTCACCTATGGTTGAGGTATGGATAGGCTTGGGCGATAAATCAGTTTAATCCATTAATTTGAATTTGCCATTTATAAAGATTTAATTTAGGGAAAATCTGGATTTTTTTTCCCACCAGTGCCCTCTTTGGGTCTTCTGTAGTTCATAGGTCACTCCACCTGTCCCTCAAGACGCTTGGTACATGACATGACAATATGGCAGCTAGCAGAGAGGATCTATTTCTCAAAAAAGGCACCATTTCTTCAGTTATCTGGAACTGGTTAAGTTTTGCAAACTCAGACGTGGAGCAACAAACACCTCACTGCAAAATCTGTTTGAAGGCTCTTGCTACAAAACGCAGGAGTACAACAAATGTATTTCAACACCTGAAACAGAGGCACTCCATTAAGTGGGAAGCAAATCGATTAAAATCGAATTTGGGATGAAAATTCGATTTTTTTGGGGGGTCATATCACCGAGCTCTAGGTATGGACCATGATTGAACAAGTTCTTTAAGGAATGATAAATGTTTAATTTGAATTATTTTTCAGCTAATTAGCCTCAAAGTGTTGTGTTTTTAAACCTTGAGTCCCTGATTTCTTTCAGTAAAAGTAGAACACGTCAGATTTTGGTTTTGTGGATCGTCTCCAGTTCCGACAGGATTTAAGGACAAACTGTCATTCTTTCGTGTTTGTGTTGTGGTTCAGGAAAGGATAAAGGAGAGCAAGGAATGACCTCAACTGTTCCAGATGGAGCTCTCGGTCTGGAGGAGGGAGTCATAGCTGGCTGGGGGGTTATTTAGAAACTCTCTGCCTGCCCCCTACGCCACGAGGAGCATGCGGTCGCTTCATGCTGAGAGCATGTACTAGTTGAGCCCTCAAGCTGTTTATATCCAACCCTCACCTTTAACAACTGGCTCAGCTATAGAAGGAAATGTGAAGCCATTAAGTCCTATCAAATCTCTTCAGGTTACACAGACATTCTTATGAGGCTTCATGTTTTTGTTCATTTTATGATGAAAACTGTGAGAATCTTGACGTCTTGTGCTGCCACAGGATATGATCCAATTTCAACAAATAATCAACTCGTCTAGTTCAAAATACACCAAATGTGATAATCACTAATTTGTCATTTGTGACCTATGGTAATGAAATGAGTCATTATTTTAAAATAAGTTATTAGTTTTTAAATTTTCCATCTCAAAAACTTCAAAACAATACTTGTTGAAATTTGACAATTTATTACCTGGCCTAGCAACAAGCTACTTTTGTTGATTTTAGTGGTCGGAAATTATGTCATTTTGAATTCCAGCCCTGTTTTTAATTTTTTTAAAGGAGAATTAATGAAAACCTTGCTGCTGATGTTCTTGCTGCATTGCAGTCTTAAATCTGTGCACATTTTTACTTTTTCATTTTCTTTCTTGCTGCACCAAAGCTTTTGGTTTTGTTTGATCTTCCTAAGCTCTTGTGTAACTTTTACAGCCACTCGAACACTGCTGCAGCCATGCAGGGGCAGAGGTATGGGATAAATCTTGTGCCAGCAGGAATTGAACGTGAATTTCTGAATTTGAAATTGAATGCATTGGTTTGAAAATGAATTTTACTAAACTGAAACTGAATTTAATGATTTGAAACTGAATTTAAAGTTTAGAATTAGAATTAATTTGCTTTGAAACTGTATTTTGATCTATTAAAAATTAAAATTGTCTACATTCACTTTCAGTTCCATAATTCAATTTCAGTTCTAAAATTCAGATCTTTGTGCCACATATCCTGGTCCTTGAGAAAGCCAGCCTGATTAATCAAACACAGATGAACAGATTTACGTTTCACGTCAGTGAAGCTTCCTTCTGTAATGTAACAGAGTTGATGCAATCCATTGTAAAACTGACAAAAAACAGTTATTTATTGCAGTGATAATTTTTTCCTATAGATAATGTTACGTTTCCATCACATCATGGATCAGTCAGCAGCAGGTGATCTGCAGCTGAGAGCGAAGTTATGAGAGGACTGATCTGTCAGTGTTTGGGACCAGGAAGGAGCTCAGAGCAGAACCTGCTGAGCATCAGAGTCCCTGAACCCCCCTGCATTGTCAAATATGACTCTGTTGGTTCTGCTCACAGGTGGAGGTGGAGGTGTGTCTCCACAGGTCAGCTGTGGGCAGATCAGCACCGTCGTGACCGGACTTTTTTTTTTTTTGACTGAGCTGGTAGACTTCGGAACACAGCGGTGTCAATTTAGCAAATTATTCACTATATTTAGCAAGTTTTCAGACCATCTACTGACTATTTTTAAGAAAATCGAGCAGCAAAAAACATTTAGTGACTTTTTTCTGCTGTTAGTGAGACTTCCTGGAGGGAGGTGCTGCTGGAGACGCTCCAGTCTGGAGGGAGCAGGACGGAGTCGAGACCACTCTCCAGCCTCTCTGTGATGAGCAGATATCCTGGGGGTTTTTGGACCAACTGACCGCTTGTTAGTTTTACACGCAGTCTAAACAGTGTCGAGACAAATAAAAAAAAAGTCCGGTCACGACGGTGCTGATCTGCCCACAGCTGACCTGTGGAGACACACCTCCACCTCCACCTGTGAGCAGAACCAACAGAGTCATATTTGACAGTGCAGGGGGGTCCAGGGACTCTTCTGCTCTGAGCTCCTTCCTGATCCCAAACACTGACAGACGGATCAGTCCTCACATAACTTCGCTCTCAGCTGCAGATCACCTGCTGCTGACTGATCCATGATGTGATGTAAACGTAACATTATCTATAGGAAAAATTATCACTGCAATAAATAACTGTTTTTTGTCAGTTTTACAATGGATTGCATCAACTCTGTTACATTACAGAAGGAAGCTTCACTGACGTGAAACGTAAATCTGTTCATCTGTGTTTGATTAATCAGGCTGGCTTTCTCAAGGACCAGGATGTGTGACACAAAGATCTGAATTTTAGAACTGAAATTGAATTATGGAACTGAAAGTGAATGTAGACAAATTGAATTTTTAATAGATCAAAATACAGTTTCAAAGCAAATTAATTCAAATTCTAAACTTTAAATTCAGTTTCAAATCATTACATTCAATTCCAATTTGGTAAAATTCATTTTCAAACCAATGCATTCAATTTCAAATTCATAAATTCAAATTCAATTCCTGCTGGCACAAGACTTATCCCATACAGAGGGAGCAAAGACAAGAGAGGAATCTGCTGCGTATTCTGCAAACTTCCTCTGCAGAGGTCTGCTTGCATCTCTGCCAGTAATTAATTAAAAACTTACATTTTTTAAATGTGGTTGGTGGTGAGAATCTTTAGTAACCTCGCAATTCGATTTGGGCTGCAGTGCAATTACAAAACCATTATTGATGCATTCTGGGATAATCAAGTCGGTGCGTCAACATCATCAGTTTAATCGTCCCTGTCTGCTACGCTTCTAAAACTAGATTAAACTTCCAGTAAACTTCTAGTGGTGGACAGGCTGCATGAAATAAAAACTGACAGATGTAACTGTGTCGAACAGCAGGAGGATTGTTCACATCTCTCTCTACTCTTTTTATAGCACCGTTCGTGCTGACAGTAGGCTTTCTGAATGGTCTGATTTGATTTAACTGGAGTGCACACTGATTTACTATTACAGCAATCAGAGTTGTCCTCATTCTCCCCACTGGAGAGCACTGGAGTCCTCTTCTCTTTTCATTAACGACACTTTTTTTCCGTTACAATCTGCTCTTTTTCTTTTAGCTTTTAGTCTCCTGCTAGAAAGCTCTCCTCCTCCGTCATGTTTATCTCTTCCTCCAGCTTTGTTTTAGTTTTTCTGAGGAAGTCACACGGAGGTGTCAGATAGGAGCTGAGTAATCATGGTTTATGACAATAATCTGTTTCTGTGTCGTCTCTTTCTTGTCTTCGGCAGGTGGAACACTGCAGACAGGCTGCCTCACACTGAGCTATGGAATGCTTCCTGCTCCCACCATCACTAGTCTCCAATCTTTGGACTGAGCTTCAAACACTTAGTTAGCAGTTGTGTGTCTCCCCTTGAACTGTTTCTAACCAGGGGACGTAGAAAAGGAGCGGGCTGAGCCGGTCCACCGAGTACACCGAGCATCTCGCCGCTTTTTCTTTTTGAAAAAGAATCGAAGGCCTTTTGTTTTTTTCTTCTTCTGCTTGGATCCGTAAAATCATATCAAGATGGATTTGGAATCGTACCTGTGGATGGTGGTGCTTGGTTTCATCATTGCCTTCATTTTGGCGTTCTCCGTCGGAGCCAACGACGTGGCTAATTCCTTTGGCACGGCAGTGGGGTCCGGCGTGGTCACGCTCAAGCAGGCCTGCATCCTGGCGTCCATCTTTGAGACGCTGGGATCCATGCTGCTCGGGGCCAAAGTGGGAGAAACCATTCGGAAGGGCATCATAGACGTCAGTCTGTATAACGACACGGTGCCCATACTGATGGCAGGGGAGGTCAGCGCCATGGTTGGTAAGTCCAACTGCTTTTTTATTACCGCCTGCTACAAAAAGACGATGGTAGACGATCGCGTTTTTGCCCAAGTCTTTTAAAGTCGACCTCTGTCAAGATGGCTGCCACAACCAACTTTCTTTAAATACAGACATGCTACAATTCACAAGTCAGTTTTACCGCTACAGAGCTCAGAGTCATCCCCAACACACACTTTAAATGCTAATATATTGTAGTCAGCTCTGTCTGTTAGCTCTGTCATGAACCAGAGAACAGATTTTAAAAGGATCCATGATTAGTTGTAACATTAGACTTTATTTGATAAACATATATTTTAACTGTAAAATAAAGACTGTAAAAAAATACTGTAGGCTGTTTAGTTTTGGTAAATTTTTTAAAATATAATTTAACACGAATGGAGCCATTTTATTTACAC